CAAACAAAACTATAACTACCTCTCAATCTAATATAAGTTTCTCAGAGCGAAGCAGAATTGGACGAAGTGTGAAACTAACGATTTGACTATGGACAAAAAAAGCACAGCTGGAAGAGAACATATTTTTAATTAGTAGAGGCGGAATGTCATAACAAAGATTAGCAAATATAAGTGAGACTAAGATGAAGCAGATTAATAATTTAATCATAGAAGAATCGAACTACAAAAATAATAAGAGTCAACTGATTAAGATAAATGTTGTCGTTCACATTTACATACCCTTGTTGAGTTATAAAGATAGACTTACCAAGAACAACTACAACAACAACACCAGCAAAAACAACATGCTTTGGAGGCTTGATCACTATGGGATGGAGATGCAGCTACAACAGGATCTTTGTGACGCGATCTTGTACTTTCAAAAGCAGATGAATTTTCTTGATTTGAATGACGAGTACTCATCTGAATAGATAATGAAAAACAATATTTGGATGTTTAGTGTAAATACATTAGTTAGATGTCAAGAGTGAACAAAAATAACTTTGTTAGTATACTTACTTTCTCAGTAGAATATTTTGAAATTTCAAGATGTGTGATGATTCCAAGAGTTGTTACACCTTCAATTAGTCTAAGTAATGTTTCTGGAACGGAATTAATTGTATCTGAATAAGAAGAGGTGGTTTTCTTTGATATCTCCTTCCTTACGCTAAACAAAAAAATAGTTTAAATAATTGGGATCGGAAGTTAGCTCTTGATTAGAATTATTATCAATCCACGCGAGAAAACAGAAAGCCATTAATTATGATTATTGAATAGTTCTGGATAATAACAATTCCAAGATTATTATGAATAAATTTATTTATTTACCTGTTAATGGGTAATACCGGCTCCTTGCGAAATATTGACATGAAGGCGTCTTCTGAGAGTTCATTGAGGTCTACAATATATTGAAAAAACAGATAAACGGTATACTATGTGTTTAGACTCAAAGATTTGATAAAAATGTTATGACCTACACGCTATTATAAAGTGACAATTTTTTAATTTTAATGTTCTAAATGCAACGCTTTTTATCTTTTTCACTGAATGCACATTAATTTCTTTCTTGGCTGACAACACCGGTCTCACAATATATTAATTTAATAATTTGAAAAAAAATGTACAAAAATATCCCATCTGTTTCTTGCCTGAACAATAGTTACCGTTTAATTTCTTTATGATATGACTCTCTAGCAATAAACTAGACTGGTAAACAAAAAAAAAGATTGTAATGTCGGATCGAGAAAATTGAATTCTTTGTTCTCATGCGTATGATTCTGTTGACTTTCTCGAGTAATAACCTTATACACTGTGGGACATTTCTTCCTCATATATTTAATAATATTTTCAGCTTTATGCTTAATGCAAATGCATTATTTTTATCCTTTACTGACTTTTAAATCTGCTTTAACTAATCAAAGTTGAGATTTTGTGGATATTTATCCTTTAGACAACAAAACATTTAATAAATAAACGTATAATAATGATTACGTTCTGTTAGTATCAAATAAATATAGTCAAAATTATAAATACAGGAGTATCCATCGCTAATATATAAATATTACATATACAACAGTCATAATATGATGAAAATATTGTGTTTTGAACCATTTTCATTCAAAACACACAGTGATCGTACTGGTACACTTCCTATTCTTTAATTTGGTGTAAAGATTATTTTTACTTTTAGTTTTTGCAGTTTACATCTGCTTTTTCTGCTTTTTTTATTTTCTTTACATATAGAACTACGTCAAAAACAAAAGATTCTCAAAGTAAATACACAGAAGGATGAATCTTTCCCACTTTTGCTTTGTTATAAAATTAAATTATCCCTTTGTTAATCAGTTTTGGAACTTGAGAACGGTGTTCTTTCTCAGAAAATAACACAACTCTAAACATCCTTCTCTCTATGTTTGTGCTCATTGTACAAGATCTCAAAGTAAAAATCTACAAACGTGAGAAATCTATATCGATGTTTTGACAATTGTGAGTATCTGCAGTATAAGCTCGTTTCATAGTTTATCGTCGGTCACTTTCAGGATTTAATACGTAGAGTTAGACGCCAAAAAACTCCTGCTTCATTCACAGGATAGGCTCTAACAACGAACTAATATTGATGGTGGTATTTATGGATACATATTCACTGAATGTTCAAGTGTGAATTCTCGATGTTCACGATTTACATACGACAAATTCTTATCTAGCGCTATGGAGAGAGGAGGTTAAATTTCTTGTGTTTGAAGACGAAACGTAGAAGGGTTTAGAGAAGTGGAAAAAAAGGTATCATAAATGTCAAATATCGTATACTTGACCTTTTTTACTAACAGGAAAAAATATCTTGTAAAAGGATTAGTAGAGGTTTTTTGACATTAAGGAATATCTTTTTAAGCGGCAGATTGGTACATTTTTCTGAACATTGGGATTTTGTACAAGTGAAAAACTAAGATAGTTGTTGATGAAATTGTAAGAAAGCCTTGGTTCCTGAAGTTTACGGTTTCGTGAACTAAAAAATCATACACGGCTCAATGAAAAACCAATAGAATCTAGTGAACCGTATTTTAAAAAAACTCTAAGATTTGGTAAACATAATAAACTCTTTACAAAACCTTTCTAAATTTTTGAATCAACTGAAATTTCTTAAGAATTTAGCACCGTCTATTAGACCATTTGGATTTTGTACGTGATGTTTTTTTTTTTAGGGTTTGTTCCTGTTTACCTTTGTTTGATCAACCTAGTCTCGGTGTTTATTGTTGTTTTACACAAGGCTAACTATTAAAAGGTGAAGGATGTCCGTTATTTATAGAACTTGCAAAAAAATATAAGTTTTTCCTTATATATAGAGATACAAGGTCATTGAATAAGATAGAAAAAACTTAGTAAAATAAAAAGATAATCTTTTTTAGATCAATTTCATACGCGAAACAAAATCATTCGAAAAAAAAGTAGAGTTCTTATTAAATGCGATCTTTGATTGTTTGTTTATACAACCTTCCATAGAATATCATTTACGCTTTTCAAACATATTTTCTTTTTCTTTTTCTATTGCATCGCATCGGAGTTCAAATAACATATCTAGTAAAGCTTGAAACGAACAGTATTACTCAAGTTAATTCATTTTCTGATATGATAATGAATAGTAAATGGTCACTAACAGATATTAACAAACATTCAAATAATGAGAAGAAAATTTAAATCCATCGATCTCTTATTAAGAATGTAACTAACAATATTTTTCGTTTAAGATATTTAATAATCTATGCAATAAGATTTTTAATTATTTTTTTACTTACCTTACACAAAAAATTTACAACAAATTGCTTAATAGAAAAACCGAATAATAATGCACCATTAACTTATTAATTTGTTCATATGTAATGACAACATTTAAAAATGAATAATCATGATAATACTTATTTAACACAAGAAACAAAATAGAAAAAGAAAGAGAATTGTATCACCAATAATCGTAATCTAAATATAAATCTTCTTTTGAATGCGTGTATGTGCTGCTGTTCTAATATTGTCTACATTAACCATAATATTAACAAGAAAAAAATAAGAAAAAAAACACTTAGCGTTATTATTTTTAATTTTCAAAAATGTCTAAAATATTTCATCTAAAAGGAAATAAAGATAAAATAAACTCATTTTTTTTTTTTTATTTGAAAAAATAAGTAAAGCATGATGAAAATTGTGAACATTAAATTCGACGTCAAATCCATCCTAATTTATATTTCAATTCTACATTTTCTGAAAACAAAAGTTTACAATACTCATTTTTGTATAATCTTCTTTCAACCGTACATTGAATAAAAGTAAAACTAAAATGAAAGTTTTTTAATAAAAAAAAAACAGTTAACATGTTTGAGGTTTACTCTATATTCTTTTATCTGTATGTTTCATAATTACAGACAGGAACAGCAGAATAGAACAGAAAAATCAATAACTCTCGAAAAGGTACATATAGAAAGTTTTAGAAACTAAATGCTTTTTTTTTTTTGTAAAATGTTGAGAAATAAATTCACTAAAAGAATATATGCTCAGTAAAAAATTAATTGCTTAGCAAAGGTGTGTTTCGATTTGTTTTTAGCCTAATTATCTCATCGAGTAGAAATAAAGAAACAAGAAGAAAGTGGACCAGATGTTCTAGGATCAAAATTATATTATTTCTTTTCTCTTTTTTTCTTGTCAATAACAGCTATATGGTATCTATTTTCAGATGAAATATTTTTGTACAAGAATAAATAACTAACAACTAGACAATAACTTCTCCTACATATGTTATTATTTTACACTCGAGTCTTCTAAAAATCATTATGACTACTATATTTGACCATTATAACGTTGATCATATTATCTTAAATTTTTCACAATCATAATGTGATTAAATATTGACATTTTCATATATTAAACACATATGAAAGTATTTGTCCTTCTTTCCGGGTGGATAGGTTTTTATCTATAGGAACGATACATAGTGAAAAATCAGTCAGATGACTTATACGAACAGCTCAAACATATGTTGATGGTTGATAGAAGATCCTAAAATCTTAACAATTTTATATATTTTGATACTCCTAGCTGATTAAATCAGTAAAAATGTCAGAAACATTGTTCTGACTATCATGGTGAATGAGAAAACTATCAAAATCAAACGTCTTTACTCTATATCCCCGTAGATGAAACTATCGATTATACAAATCTCTTGTATTAGTATAAATATGGATGAAAGAAAAAACCTACAAACATTGTTACATCATACACTGGATAGTAGTCTAACAACAGGCGTTGTCTGCCATATACGATCGATAGTTTATATTCTTACTAGTCTACCGATTTATTTTCAAAATAATGAGGAATTGTATTTACATCAAAGTCTCTAAATTGGCCTCAAACATATTTATACGTAATGGATGGATAAACTATGCGAGAAAAAAAAACGTGCGAGTCTCTTTGTGTCTCATATAAATAGACACTTTTAGTGACTTTTGTTTCACATTTCTACTTAAATCGCTTGACGTTCAGAATATTTTATTCTCATTATAAGACTTATCGTCAATCATTGTTATAAGAAGTTCTTCTCTTTGCTCATCGAAAAATTTTAATCGTTCTCTTTACTAGTGCGAATACCTGTTATAACTACTACTTAAAAAGACACAATAGAGAAAAAGAGAGACAAAGACGAAAGCCTTACGCATTACAGTTCTAACAATATGTCAAAAAAAAAGAAAAAAAAAAAAAAAAATTTCTCTTTCTATTATTACTATTATTATTATAAGTGATGATAATAAAGAAAGATGTGCATTACAGAGTCCTTCGGCAATTATCTATACATTGGATAGAATATTATCAGAAGGTTGGAAGAAGAAATGAAAAAAAAAAAGACTTCGTGAAGTGACAAATAATTTTTTTGTTGGGGTGGTATAGATAATGAGGTTATGTTGTTGTTTTTTTCTTCGTCATTTTTAGATATCTAATAAATCACTCTAGGTATAAAGGAAAACAACATTCTTGTTAGCATACAAGCAAGCATAGAAAATAAAACAAAATTGTAAAATATTACAAATTAACTTTGGGACGATTGTTCTTTCGATTTATTAGTTAAAAGATAGCAGAACTTTTAATTATTTATCAGAGAATTGTACTGTAGAACAGATGCTATTTCTTACTACTATAATATTGATAAAAGAGAAAAATGAGACTATCTAATTAATCATATGTTATTGTGGTAAGACCAGTTGTCGACGAGTCCTGAGTGTATTTACTACTCGAAATAACTTTCTCCATCCAGTATACAAATCCTTCTTTTTATTTTTTTGTTCTCCAAACAGAATTAGTACGGAAGTTTTCTTTTCTTTATAACGGTCGCATGAGATTTAGTAACAGAAGAAAAGGGTTTCGAATAACTAATGGCTTCTTGACAAGCTAATTGTGGAGTTGTAAAAATCACAAAATAATACGCATTTATAACACATCAAAAAAGAATAAATTGTAATATCAAAAAAAGTTTTTTTTATAGAAACACTATAGCCACTCAAATTTAGCATCTTTTCGATTTCCGGTACGTTTTACTTTTGAAAAATATCAGTTTGAATCAGAAAAAGTGGAAAAAACTGAATAATTGAAACTTAAACTAATCATGTATATACTGAAAATAAAATAATTTTGTTTCTTTTCATCATATACTAAAGCATCTTTCAAACATATTGACAGAACTAAATAACAATATGTTTGATAGTCAAAAACCAAAAAAACCAAAAAAAGACTAATAGATAATGTGGATTGCACACAAATGTACACACATTACATTGAAAGACACGATAGAGGACATAGGTGAAGAAATGCCATGTAATGTAAGAGACGTTTACTACATTAATGATGTTAAACACTCTTTTTATCGTATAAAATTGAGATAAGAGCGGTATATTTCTGCTAGTCTTCCCACGGATCAATCATTTTCTCTTTTATTTTCCAATCCCGAGAGAGATATTTTATGAAACAAACATATAAAACTCGAGTCATTCATAGAACAGTATTAAAAGAGAGTTGTTCAGTGCGCAACAAATTAATTTTAATAAAATAAGAAAAAAAATTTTGTCACGCAAATAAATAAATCTCAGTCTCGATTTTATCTATGTATTTTATTTTAACGTACATGTTCAACACTTATTTGCTTTCTTCTAAGCAGTTGTTTAAAAAAAAAAGACAAATAAGTGACAAACTACACTTATCTAGATGACTACATACTTTGTTTAAAGTAGGAAAATTATCTAGACGTGTATCTCTCTGTACGAATGTAAAAAAAATTAGTCTTGATTTCAAGACACTTTTCTTTACATCATTTCACATCTATCATTATTTCGACTCAATAAACAAGATAAATTATTCAAAAAAACTGGGATAACTTGATCTTAATTTTAATCAGAAATTAAATGCAAAAAGATAAATATACTTCACGTTTCATACTACTTAAATGTTCAATATGCTGGATATTCTTCTTCTTTTTTTATTTTTTATTTTTTTTACAATTCTTCAGGTAAATAAATGCGATAATAGTTGAAATATAATATTTGTAGTGAGAGTAACTGAAGAAGACCAATCAAAACCAAAATACGTAGTTATATGAACATATAAGTGTGTAATCAATCTTCCTTTTTTGACAGTCGTGATTCTTCTTCTGCTTCTTCTTCTTCTAGTTGAAAAAAATAAAACAGAACAAAATAAAACTGTAAACGAGAATAACCTATAATCGAAACAAGAAATAATTACTCATTAATCATAGATAGACTGACGATTTAACCTCGAGAATCGAAAAATACCACCTTTCTATATGAAATTTTTGAGCACTAGATCAGATTATTTTTTTAACCAGAAAATCATTGCCAAGAATCTCTCTGAAAAAAAGAAAATGGTGTATTTTCTCATCTAAGAAACTGTAATTAGTATTATCAAAGAAAAACATGTAACAATCAAATTTAGATTTTTTTTTCATTCATAACAAAAAATAAAGAGTCCATTTTGCGTTTTTGAATGGTGACAAAACTCATTTTAGTTCTATAAAATACATTTTTCATCGTATTTTCAAATATCTTTTTTTGCTTTTTCATATAATATAGATTCTCAATTTTTCCCGACAAAAATCTTTGTCATCGAAAAAAAAAGTAAAAAGATATTTCAGAATACGATAGACAAACGTACTTTCTTTATAGAATCAAAATGAGTTTCATTACTAATCAAAAATCCCAAAAGTTTTTATGAATGAAAAAACATCAAAAATTTGATTGTTATATGTTTTTCTTCGATAATACTATTTACGGTTTCTTAGAATTGAAAACACTTAATTTTGATACTTTGAAAAATAATTGTGATTTTAGAGAGTATTTATAACTCATTTCTTCTCATTTTTTTTACACATTATGTGGAAAAGTAATTCAATTCATTGTATTTATAAACGTGTAAAATGAAAAACTATTTTCATTATTATGTACTGTTTGACGTTGAATTACAGGCAAATTTAGTTGCGCAAAAGCATAAATAACTAAAACTAGCTTGAAACAGGAAAAAACTTAGTTTTTAAAAGTGAATGTTGAAAATAATGGACTAAAGGGAGAGATTATAATTAGCTTAAGAATTGTAGAATCACAATATGTTTTATAGTTCTTGACTGAAATAAATTGAATTAAACACAGTACATACGTTATTTTCATTTCCAACATGATACTACATTTTTTTTCTTCTTATAGTAGGAAAAAATATGCTGATTAAATTTTTTTTCTATTATTTACATGAAGAGGAATCATTTACGAAAATATTCCATTATAATCAACACACGCACACACATGTTCTGGTATCGATGACGAGAGAAAAAGGGAGTGAGAGAGAGTGTGTATGTTAGTATACAGCACTACATGGCAGGTCTTTTTTCCCTTCTTTCATGCATGTATATATTTAGAGAGACACATCTTTATTTTCTTTAAATAGAAGAAAAAAAAGATTTTCTTATTGTTGTTATATTGCTGATTATAAGAGTAGTAGAAGATGATGTGTGTTCTTCTTTTCCTAGATTTTGTTTGTCGCTTGCTGTCTAAAGTTTTTTACATCGACGTTGACTCTATATTTCAGACTTTTTTCTGACTTTTTCATTTCCTTTACCTCGGTGCACAATTTTCTTCTTGTCTAATATATTTTTTTTCTCTTTGTTTAATAATAATAATAATAATACAATACTATAGACTACTATGTGAGAGAGTTGAGAAGAAAATTTGTGATGAGAAGAAAAAAGAACGAAGAATACCGCATTTTACGGGAAAAAAAAGAATGATAGACCAAAAATCGAACGCGCGTAAAACTTCTATTTTATATAGTTAGTAGCACATACAGATCTAATTCTTTTTTTTATTTTTTTTCATAGTTCTTCCACTATAGAAAAACTTGACAATGCTGGAAAAGAGGAAAGAATATAAACACATCAAAATATTTTTTTTTTGAAGATCTTTTTCCGTGTTTTTTGGTCCACATTTGTCTTATTCTCGGTCAATAATGACGATTACTACTACGACGTTTTTGTTTCTATTAGTCTTAAAATATGACAATACTTCTTTTTTTTTGTATATATATGAAACGCTCAATTTGTGTATATCTCAAAAAAAGAAAAAGAAAGGAAAACTTAAAAAACAATGAGTCTGTATATAATGCGACGGGACAAGGAAAGAAAGTTTATCATGATTAAGTTCTTTTTATTAAACAAAAACACATATCTCTGCTTAAGTAAAAAAAAGAATATACATACATTCTCTGTTATAGAATAAAAATTTTCTTTTTATATAAAAACACATTACCTTTTTGCTTAGATTTCATTTTAACAGATGAATATATGCATCAAATCTCTATTCAGTTTTTGTTTTAATTCAGTTTTCTTTGCTTTCATCATAACAATTATTTTTTTCTTATGTCTCTAAACACGTTCATTGTTGTTTTTCTTTCTTTTTTTTTTTGTATAAAAGAAGAATTAGAAAGCTCAATAGAAGATAGAGAGAGAAATGGAAATTTATATGCTCATCTTGGTCTAATCATCCGACATACATATACAATTTAAAATAGTTATAAATTTCAAGTTTAAATATAAAGAAATGTGATAGTCAACTGGTGTTTGACAAATATTTTCACGAACAACAGCCAAGATTTTAAAATATTAGTATTTTTTGCAAAAATCTACTGTATAGTGTTGGCACATAAAGGAATTATTGCTAAAACCATCCCACAGTGGATAATCTGTAGTGAGTTGGTCTCGACAAAGACAAAAGAGAGAACCAAGAGTGTATAATCTTACCAGAGGCGTTGTAAAGTACCATGACTAGATGAAAAGAAGATTTTTGTAAATTTCGAAAAAGTTCCTTCGTTTGTTAAAAAACTTGCTAAATGGGAGTAAAGCAGCAATAGAAGTTGATTTCAGCGTAAATGTGTTAGAAAATCGAAATAAATTACTCTCAATTTTATAATAAATATTAAAAAGCAGGAGACTGCCTTCTGCCAGTTACAGTGTTTCTACATACTCCACATATTGCCGTCTTTAAACTACTTTCTTGTCTTTGAAATTATATAATGACTATTCACCAAAGAGCAATTGATTATTCCATTAATTTAACCAAATCTACTGTTACAAAAACATTTATCAAAACAAAAGTCTTGAACATCTACTGGTTGTTGAAGTTGAGAAGAACAAGATTTAGAGTATTGCATTTTACAAATTAGCCTCTATTTTAACAGAGCACAGAAAAACAAAATATAAATAAATAGTAATGAAATATCTGACATTTAATGCAATTCAAGAACAAAAATTAAAGCATAATATCCTGTTTTTGTTGATTTTAAAACATTTTCCTTGAGGTTGGTGTTGTCGATCGACTATTATTGAGAATTGTTGATAATGGACGGATTTTCCGATTAAAACATTCAGGATTCAATGGAATACTATAAATCAAAATACACAATGGATAATAAGATAAATAAACGACGTCACTTGTTACTTACTTCTCTTTTATAGATTCTTGTTTCGACAGATCGCTTTCACGTAAATCGAACCGAACATTTCGTCGGGGCGATGTTTGAACCTTAAATACAACAAAAATATAAATATTATAGTTTGAATCTACAACTGACTAATTTAAATACGCGTATATTTACAGCTGCATCACATTTATTTTTGCCGACTGTACTATTGACATAAAGTGACTCATCAGTAATCTAAAAAAAGCAAGTAACAGGCATACAGAATAATTTATGTACATCTAAGAACTTCAAAATAATAATCGGGAAAACTGTCAATGCTATATCAATGATGCACAACAACTTTTCTATGGTGTACATTTTGATCAAAGCTCAAATTGAGCAGTCGCTTTGTGTCATTCTGTTAGTATTAGAACTGTAAATAAATTTTATTTTACGACCGCTTTTTCGTTACAGAAAAGTTCAGACCTTGGAAACTTAAACTGATCCTTACCAGCGATCGGTACGGGCTAAAAGCTTTCTGGTCCGACAAAGAAAGCTTGCGGCTCGAGCTCGGCCCGGCCCAAGGACATAAGGTAGAGAGCTGAGTCTGATCCGACCTGTTTTAGTTGTTTACAGTCTCTTGCATTTTTAACGCAAATAGAAAAAGAAATATTACAATATTCATCTCGAACATGTTTATACTAAATATAATGGTTTTACTGATGTATTTCGCCATATGCTCTCGAAAAGAAAGAGATGGTCCGGTCCTGCCAAAATGGAATATTTTATCCATGTTTTTGCTTGCACTCTTGGCGTATAAACGGTGAAGAAAATGCACTATGGATGTTTTCTGCAATGCTTCCAATTACACATGAAGCTCTCAGGTTTAGAACGAGTTTATTACCCTTTCTTTATTGTTTATTATAGGAAACGTCTCAGACCGGTTTACCAGTAACTAGATCAACTGTTTATCATTATCAACATTATTCAGATTGTTATGAACAATCATATGAATTTAGTCTTAGAAAATGGCTTCTTGTTGCATCTGTTTATGAAGAAAATGCTACGAAACGAATATCTTTTTAGCAACAGGTAATGGATGTTACGATTTCCATACTGGCACATTTTACAATGGTGGACAGATAGTAACGATTGATTCACTATTGAATGTTTTTCCTTATTTGCAAGAGAAGGTGCATCAATACCGATGAGAAGAACCGATAGCATATCACCGGGAAAAAAAGTTGGTTTTGAGTTGCTGAAAACTGCTTTTTCGTGTTCAGCACACTCGATAATCCAGAAGATTTTCTAGTTTTGGCGAGGGATACTTCCTAAAGTTTAGGAAAAATTTCAAACTAATATTACTTTCCTATGGAAATTTATACTCATTTTCTGTAACTAGAGTTACAAAAAGAAGTGAAGAATAATACGGATCAGCAGTTTAATTTAACAAAAAACTTTGTTAGAGACATAAATCCGCGCCCAACCCCCGCGCTATTGCCTATTTTTAGAACGTCTATGTTCTTGGATAAATTGATTGATCTGTTATTCGTCAAAAAATATAAAATTGCTAA